TCCAGGCCAGCTGCTCTGATCTTTTCCAGCACCAACCGTAGAGACCCCAGGGCGGCCTCGAAGGAGCTGCCATGCAGCAGGCAGCTTGTCCATCAACCTTGCAAAGGTGGCAGGGGCATTACAAAGTCCAAAGCTGAGGACCTTGAACTGCCAGGTCCAGAGACTCATCAATGCAGGGCAGAGGGTATGAATCTTTCTTGGTTACCCCATTCACAGGCCTGTAGTCAGTGCAGAGCCGCCAGCCGCTTATCTTCTTGGGGACCATGACAACTGCTGCTGCCCAGTGGCTCTCAGAAGGCTTGATGATATCTGCCTGCAGTATGCTCAAAAAGCTTCATCACAAGCCTGATGATGAGCCAGCGAGAGGCGGCGTGGGTGACACTTGATAGGCCGTGCATCCCCTGTGTCAATATCATGCTGTAGTAGATGAGTTTGCCCCACCTCCTCCTCACTCCTGGCAAAACTACTATGGAGCATCGCACTCCTTCCACAGTGACAAGGACATAACAAGAATCGGCATTACATGTAAACTCCATCGCGACGACAGGTTCCGAGCATGCATTGTCATTTGCTTCTGGGGAAAGTGGAGTCCGGCTCCCCCGGCTGTGCTGTTGGGCTCCTCCAACTGATTCAGCCGCTACAAGACTTCACCTAGACATTGAGAAATTTGCCCAGAGGAAGAAATGGCCGTGCTAATTTTGTGATGCTGGTCCGTGAATTTGCCATATTATCAGAATGGATTGATTAATATGAAGAGTGTCAATGTGTCCATACTTAGGTTGTTGTCATAGAATGGATCTGCATATCTAAGAAGTTGTCCTTGCGCTACATTGTGGCCTTCAGTGGTGTTAGGCTCGAGGTCTTTGCTGTTCGCTTGTAGCCCTGCAGGCTCATTTGTTCTATATGGAATGCCTTTTTTTATTACATGCAAAGCTTTGATTGAGATTTTGAGACAATAAAAGAGGGAGAACTAGAACTGCAATGTATTAATAATAATAATAATTTGAATGTTAACATTGTGAATGACGTGTCAGAACTTTGAACTATTTGGTTCAGCTTATGACAATCGAGTATTGCGTTCTTAATTCAGGCTTGTAGTTTTGTAACTTGTGTAATTGCTTTTTCTCTCTCCCATTCACTCACGCACACACTCACGCACACACTCACGCACACACTCACGCATGCTCTGAAATAAATTTAAATGAATCCAGTACAATTACATTTTCCAAAGATGACACTTGCAGGTTGTGTTAAAATGGCTTTATTTCACCTTGTCAAAAAAGGTAAGCAATTAATAACCAACTCTCCAATATTTAACACAAAAACATAGCTCATACTGCTGTGAAGCAGTGAAGACATTGTCAGCTGCTTTCAAGCATGTCCAGGTGGACCAGAACACTGTGGTGGTCAATGCTCCGATCGCAGAGCTTTTCATTGCTGCGTCTGGTAAGTATAAGGAACTCCTTAAAAACTAAAACAGTCAGGTGAAACTCAGTGGGTTTGCCCCACAATGTGGACCCAGTAATAGAGGACACAATCAAAGCCTGTAAGGCTTCCAGAACCTGCTGCCAAAAACAAAAAACTGTGATGGTGGCGTCAGAGATCAGGAGAGCTGCCCAAGGAAATAGGAAGGTTTTCACATCTACTCTAAAGTCGTAGAAATGGGAAAACTAAAACTTGGCCTAGATCATCAATGGTGCTCTCAAATGTTTGAAAGATAGCATTTCAGTTGTTGAATTGTATTATTATATACAGTATATATGTGGTCCACTGTTGGCGTTGGCGTTATACAGCCATGTTTACACTTGATAGAAATTAGTTTTAATATCAGATGGCAGAGGTTTATTGTCCTTTTACATCAACAGTACAGTTGTATAGTTACAAATGTCCAGCCATGTTCTCCTGATGGAAAATCTGTTTGTTTTTTTACATGAATGAATGGCTGAGAGGTATGTTTTTATGAGTACATTGTTTGCATCTTGCAATAAATATTGATATGTTCTTGATAGCTTTGTGTTGTGTCCATTTGCCTCGACTTTTGTGAGTTTTGAGGCACTGCTGGCCTTTTAATGTCATTTGTATATGATTTGTAAGCCATAGATAGTCCTCACTTTAGATGAGGTCACACAAAATACTTAACTAACGACGAGTAACTACCTGAATAAATCATCTGTACACTTCCTGCTCAGCAGTAAAAAGCAGACAGACAGAGTGTGAGACCAGCTGGAACACAGTGGAGCATTTAGCAGCTCAAGAGTCAGATATTCTTCTCAGGAGACCAAAAACAGAGCAAAAAGAGAGTGAATATTGGACTTAGTTTCATCAAGTGGACACAAACTCAAGTCATAAGATAATGTTGCTCTGTGTCTGCTGGATATGAATATAGGAAACTGTTTGCCAACACCTTCACAATAATAACTTAATAAGGTGATATGATTTTAATGTTTATCTCTTCTTCCGGACCACAAGTGACCAAATATCAATTAATGCAGCTTTAATTCAAGGATTTAATTGTCATTATGCAACACAGAGATGCACAACGAAACGCTCGTTTTCAACACAACAAACAAAGAAAACAAAGAAAACAAAAACACTAGTCCATTCCTGTAGTGCATTTCTTGAATTTGCATCATAAGGAATGTAACCAGCAGCAACAGAAACACTTCTCTGATCAGATAATATGGCCGACATCTTCACATTAAAAATTTAACATGAGGAAAACATTGTCCATCAACTTTGATTGTGTTTAAGCAGCATCATGATGTAAACACAGAGTCCTCCTCCAGAGTCCTGCTCTCTGACCGCTGTCCGCCCGTCAAGTGCAGCTTGATCCGGGATGAACGATGGAGCCAGGTCTCTGTGAAGATCCATTTGCAGGTACAATAAACATTTGTATTATGAAGTGTCTGCACAGCAATGAAGTGCAATGTTAAAAAATGTCATTTTAAGGCTTATTTGCTTACTGGCTGTTCTGGTGTAATCTGAGGGCAGTAAATAACACTCAGTGTAACCCTGCTCATGGCAGAGGTGCTGATCCCTGCCAGACTGTCTGACCCTCAGACTGTGCTCGTGGCCCATATATTTCCTGTCTGCTGGGAAAATGTCCAGAAGAATCTGTAGCTTCATATCTGGCGCCCTCTTCTGTTAATAAAAACACTATAGAAATAGACTGTGTACTGCTAAAAAGACTTAAAAGACAACTGTTGATAGAAAGATGCAATAATTCAAAAGATCTACCATGTACTCAGAGCAGCTTTACTTTCAGCAATTTATGAAAACGTAATCAAATCTGAACAAAAGCTGAACAAAATAAAAGACGTGCAGGATAAAGCCGGGGGAATGATGAAAAGAAAATTGGCATAACAATTTAATATAAAGTAAGGAACAGGTTATATAAAACTATCCAATTTAGACACAGAACATGTATTTTTACACAGGGTTATTACATTTTTAGGTTGATACTGCTACTGGGCGCTGGGCCATTGTTGTTTACATCCGAAGGAGCAATGGCACAAAATGCTGATGAAGTAGTCGTGCCATCTTCACAGCATACTCTCTCAGGCAGTCATTTGCCTCACATGAAGCTCTTGTGAACTCTCTGACCACGTCATAATAATGATATATTGCGTATTACAATTACATTTCAACAAACAAATGTGCGTGTGTGTCGTCATTGAAGTTGTGGCATGTTGATACATGTTGGACAGCAAGATATGTCTTCTTCTCCCATGAGTATTTTTAATTTTGAGAGGTCATATAACTCTTTGAAATCTAGGATTACAGAGTTGAATTTGTATAAAAACTAAAAAAAGTTCCCTATTCCATTGAATGTTTTTCCTTTTAGGAGGAAGTACATTGCTGTCAGAGGCTCACCGGTCAAACAGGGACCCCACACTTGGTTGCAATGATTTCTTGTGTCTTCCTATTCCGATTTCAAGTGGACATTGAGCCCGTACTTGGTTAGGATCTGTCTCAGAAATGTAAAATGTATCTGCAGAATTCTACATGTCAAGATTCTGTTGGATGTATGTTTGTCCGAATGGGTATGATGACTGAGTGGACCCCATACTTCACTACCGTACAGCACAAATAGCTCGATGACACTATTAAATAGTTTAAACCACATTTTACTTGGAATTCGGAAATTATGAAATTTTGTCTTAATTGCATTTGAGCTCTTTGATTATTTTTTGGTGCATTCACTGCCCTGTTGAAACTCCCTGATGCTGTTATGGTAGGTAGTTAGGACTCATACTATGTTCAGTGGTATGGTTATTTATGGTAAGCTCGTACTAGTTTTCCTTGTATTTACTGCCAGGGCCCAGTTCTGACAGAACTGTTCTACTGTTGCTGTCCTTGTTCAGTAGGAGACAGTAGAACCAGGTCATCACCATACAACAGACACTTCACCTCTCTATCTAGATGGGAGAGGCCAGGAGCAGCACAATGATTCAACCGAACAGCAAGTTAATTTATATATACATTAAATGAAGTCAGACGAACGCCTCTCTGGTGAAGAATTCAGTTTGTCTGTCTCTTATTCTAACAGCACGTTTTTTTCTAAATACATTGATTTAACCAGATCATACATTTTTCCCTCTGTACCACAGTGTAGAAGTAATGGAGCCCTTCATGCCAAATAGAGTCAAAAACAATGAAACAAGTACATTTCTTACCATTTTTTGTTTGGTGCACATATTTGTTAATTAACGTGTGAAGGATAAATGTTTCTGAAATACATTACCCACCCAAGCTTTCATTTGTTATGTATTTATGTGAAACAAAACATCACTCATTTAGTAATACAATAAAAAACTTCAAAAATCACTACAAACTCACTGTTGGAACATTATATTGATGTGATAACGATTCTTATTTTGAGTGCGCGCGTGCATCAGTCAGGAGCCACAACCGGATGTTGTCGCCCCGGCGGAGCGCGTGTGCGGCCGGCGGGCCATATAAAGGTCTGGGCTGACAGCGGCGTGGCCTCTGCGGTTTAAACATCACGGTTGAAAGGGGTCCATCCGTTTCTCCGTCCCCAGAGAGGCGTCAACGCGCACGAGTCACAGATACGAGGTGAGTCAGCTGTTTCTTTAGGCTTGGCGTTTGTTTTTAATGACTTGCTGACGTGTTTGGTGATTAAAGTTTAAATAATTAAAATATGAAACGAAAGTAACTATTGTGTTTGGTTTGGTCAAAGGATATTTAGTTAGTGTGGCTTTTAAAACGACTGCTCGAGACTCTTTCAGCATAATAATTCAAAGCTGAATTATTAAATCCTGCCTTGCCTAACTTCCTAGTCTGGTAATATGAATCTTGACCCAAGCCACAGCAGAAGTGACTCATGAACCTGCACAAAGGGATATTTAATGCAGGGAGTTCAAACAGGCTTTCGTGATGTTTATGTTGGTCTTCACACATTTCTGCTGCATCAGGTTTCATCCTGACGAAGCTCAGCTGTTCAGTGGCTGCTATAAATGAAGTGTCACTGGGTTGACAGCTGACTCTAATGAAACAGTCGGCTTGCTACCAGCAGCATCTTTCTTCTGTTTACCGTCCCTTACCTTCCAGTGTGGAGCTCAACATGGTGCAGCTTTCTCCTCCCGCTACTGTGAGTGTCAGCCCTCCATCCGAGTGCTCGGAAGAGGAGCGGGAAAGACGGGAGAGCCTGGTGATTGCTGATGGCCTCAAGGTGTGCTCACCCAGTGGTCTGAGCGCCCTGCAGCTCAGCCTGGAGACCTCCACTATCTACTATGGCTATGACTATGACTCCTACATAGAAGATGGTCTCATCTGCCTCAAACACAAAGTCCGCAATTTGGAGAAGAAGAAGGTAGGATGGTTATAGGTCAGAGTAAATTCCAGTTAATGGGTTTTAAAATGGGTACGTGGAGGCAGGCACATGTTTTTGTTGCAGCTGAGACTTGAAGACTACAAGAAGAGGCTGAATCGGGGTGAGAAACTTAACAAGGATCAGATGGTAAGACCAGGCTGTGTATTGCCCACCACGAAGATGATCTTGTATCTTTTGTTTGTCGTTTGTTCTTAAGGTTTTCCTCTTTGTTTTCCAGGAGGCTGTAGAAAAGTACGAGGAGGTGCTACATAATCTGGCGTTTGCACGAGAGCTCCACAAGAGCCTGGATGTCTTGACTCAGACTGTAAGTCTTTGGCAATAGTGCTTCTTTTCATTGTTGTTGGGCTGTAGTGACATGTCTGTATAGTTGGAGCCAGTAAAGGCTAGATATGAGTAAAGGCTAGATATGATTCAAAATCCTGCCTCTTCTCAATAATCACTTGTTTCTTTGACGCATCAGATGTTGATGAGCTAACAAACCAAAGTGTATCCGTACTACTCGTGGTTCATAGGCAGCACGTCATGGATGACAAAGACCGGAGTAGTTGAACATCTGCAGTCACATGTTTTTGGAATGCAGCATGTTTTCTTTATCTCTTTGCGTCTGCTGGTTTTCTTGATCCAGTACGTGTCAAATGAAACTAATGAATTTCACTTTTTAGTAAAAGACTCTGCTTGGCTTTCTTTAACTCTGTAGTGTTGAGTCGCTCTCTAATTGGGGGTACATGTTACGTCCTTTGATATATTTACTGATTTAAGAGAAGACGTACAATAAAACCAGACAAAGGTTTTGTACACAACACAAGCTCCCCCTGTAAATGTAATGGTTTCGTCCCACAACCATGTGATCAGCATAACTGGATGCAATTTCTCTGTGGTGGCCATTTTTAATAGATTCTGATGAGTGTGCTTATTTTATTTTATTATTTTATCTCTAATCGTGCAGTGTCAGGCAGAATATTAATTGAATAATTGATTAAATACCTGTTCAAATGTAAGATGAACCTGATGAGCAGAAAGCCGTGTGTTAAGCATGCTCGGCCTACCATTGACATTATGGGATAAAATGGGGGAGATTGTCAACTAGGCTGCTTAGATTGGGGCCAACCCCTGAATAACAAAGTTGAAGTAACCTTACTGGGATCACTGGAAAATATCCCTTTCCTTAAAATATCAAATATTTGTTAAAATGTAAGCTTTGCAGTAGTGGCTATTTTGAGAAAGGACATTACTTTTTTTATATGAAATGTACCCCAAATTACCGAGAGTTATTTTAGTTCTTCTGCTGAGACTCTTTGGTTGCTAATATATTAAATATCAGCAGAAGTGAATATGTTGGCACCATGTAGAGCAGCTACTTGCTGTCTGTGAAGGGACGCAGGTGGGGAGAGATGGACGTCTGGTCCATTCCTTTCTCCGTCTATGATATTGTTCCTCGCTTGTAGCCTCCATGTTGGATTTGGCGGTTGGTCTTTGTCCCGCCCTTCCTCTATTGCGATTGTATGGCTGTGTGACATTGACGAGCGTGGCGTTTTAACCAATGTTTGTCACGCTGCTGTTTCTAGCATGGTGGAAATTTTCATTTGCAACATAGGGTCGCATAACAAAATGTGACAAAACAAGACCAGTTGCACAGTCCTGTGCATTTTTAGAATTTGCATCCAAAATCTACATGGCAGGGGATTTCAACTCCTGCTAACTAAACCTTTTGGCTAAGCATATCTCATTAATATATTGTTAAATATGAATTGATACGTTCATGAACCAGGACTTCTGAAGCATTCAGAGTTGAGCGTTTGCTGTTTCTGTCTGTGAAACTGTACACAGCTCAGCAGCCAAATGATCAATTGGAGGCTGTTAAGTTTTAGTTTGAACATTGTCAGATACACACTTAAACTAGCTCATGGTTGGGCTTTTATTCATTATTTAGTACTAGCTTAATTGGATCGCTACTTGTTTGTGTTGGTAGTGGTTTGGCACCCACACATGGAGCTCAAGTTAAACGGCTTAATTTGACTTTAGTCACTTCAGTAAAACGTGTGATCAGGTCATTTATGCTTTTCTAGTTGCCGATCTCTGATTATTTTACACTGTAAACAACCCGTCCGTGTTTAGATTGACAGAGCTAGTTTAACGTTAGCAGCACTGCTAATGGCTAACGAACGAAGGTTCCCTTCAGTTACATTATGATGCGTTCAGGCTCTGTTCAGTGAAAAGCTAAACTATAACTTAAATATGATGTAATCTCGTAAAATGAAGTTTTGATGATTAACTTGAATAAACAAAGTTTTCACAACAACATAAATGGATATTACAAATGAATTATGAGCTGTAATACGTACCTCTAAGCAGCGTATACTACATCATTAAAACTTCTAATTGCTAAACTAACTACAAGATTTGTTTTAAGCAATAAAAATACAATCTTTTATTTCCTTATTTGAATTGTTTTTATGAAGAAAAAAACTATACTACTAAAATATATATCTCAAAGTAAAAGTATAACATTTATAATTGTTGATGGTTTACCCTGACTTCAGAGTGGTTGAAGTGATCTTTTTTTGAACGATTATAAACGTGATCGGGATCTGTAAAAGTTTTCTTTGCTCCTTTTTTTTTTTTTTTGTGCTGATCCGATCTGTGATCAAAACCCTGAGTTGTATGATTCGTTGCACCACTAATTTAAAGAGACAACTTACTAACTGAGCATTTGAGCCATGCCATCCTCTTCTCCCGTTGTCCCGCTCTCTGTGCAGAGCTCCAGGCCCTAGCTTCATAGCTGATGCACAGATGATGGGGCGACCGTGGCTCACTGGGTTAAGAGGGTTGTCTGGTAACCGCAAGTGTCCCTGAGCAAGACACTGAATCCCTACGGCTCCCCGGGCGCCCGTCATAGGCAGCCCGCTGCTCCCTGATACAGGGATGGGTCAAATGCAGAGACTAATGTCCCCCATACCGGGATAAATATAGTATTAAAAAAAAAAAGACAGGAGTACTTGTTGGATGTGAGCAAGCTAATAATCCTAATCTTTTACACATTGATACAAAAGTGCTTTTCAATTATAAATGTATTGTTTTGCTAGGATTCATTGATTAAAGACTATTGTTCTAGCCCAAAATTTTCTACTTTTAAAACTGGTTCTAGTCGTCTTTAAAACTTGATGTGCAACAACATCCAGCAGTTAACAGGGGACTCTTATTGAATTGGTCCCGGTTGAGTTTCAGACAACTTGTTTATGCAATGTTTTCAAACTGCTGCTTGATTCATCCTGCCACTGCAGTTGCTGAGAGCCCAGAAGAAGGCAATGAGGAAGGAGCAGGTGGTGAAGGAGGAGACGGAGAGGAGGCGTCTGAGCACCGTGCTGCAGATCCAGCACCTCCTCCACTGCATGCAGCAGGAGCACGTCAGGAGAGACCTGCTGGCTGGACACAACCAGGCGCCACGCATTGCAGCCCAACAGCAGCAGAGCCTGAGTCGGCTTGCTGCCCTGCTGGGGGTCAAGAGGGATAACGGACTGAGGTGATTGGCAACATATCGACACAGACAAAGAGAGCTAGAGGGTGCAATGATGAGTGTTTTTTACCGGTCATACACAGCAACTATAATATTGGATGAGTGGATCCGGTAACGATCCACTGACCCACACTCACCAGGAGAAGAGATTTCTGGACACTGTCTTAGCGTTCTGTGCCAAAGTCATTGGTACATTGGCATTTCAGTACAATCCCAGTTTACTCTCATCCAGCCCACAACACCCACCCATGCTGCTCATTTAGCTGTTGAATGATTGCTGACGAAACAATTGTGGTTCTGGTTGTTTGTAGAATCATCTTAAAAGGCTTCAAGCTCAGCCTAAAGGTAAATGACAAAGCAACATTTGCACTGCACTGATCTCTCATTACTGCTAATTTCTGCTTGCATTGACTGACTTGTAACTGTCAACGGAGAGGAATGGAGGGGAGCTGGTGATTCTGTCAGTTTATTTTCAATGGTTCTTTTAAAGCAAATGGTACAATTTCTGCAATCTAATTCAAATTATTGTGATGATGTTTTTGTTTGACTAACTTAAAGCAACACAGTCTTTACTTATATTTAATTTGATATACTTCTGTGTAAAAAAACACGACAAAATTGCAACATGATAATAACGTATAGCTAAATGGACTTGTATAGCACCTTTTCTATTCTTCCGACTACTCCAAGCACTTTTACGCTACATGTCATTCAGCCATTCACACCCGTGTTGCCAGACCCATCGACATGACTGGAGGAGTCGAGGATTGAACCATGATCATCTGATTTGAGAGATGACCCACTCTACCTTCTTAGCCACAGTTGCCCCACAATATATGTAGTACAGTGTTTCTGCACATTATGTAGAAACTCCCATGTCCTTAACAACGGCGCATATGCTTTGCTGCTCCACAGCAGAGTTCAGGTTGGCGCTCAGAGCTTCTTGTCACACATGGTTTCTTGGCTCATTGATGACCTCGCCTGTCTATCTTCACTGTGTTAAAGTTTAGAGGAGCAGATGGAGCAAGCAGCTCTGGCCTATTTGGACCTGCTAGAGGGGACAGACAAACCAGTGGCTGGATCTACATGTGAGTATAAAAGCACATAGATATCTGAGCTTTGTTTGCTGAGCCCCTCAGTCATTTTGTTACTGACCAGTTATATCAAAATGACACTTAATATCATTTGGATATTATAGATTAGTTAGATTTTTGGTGATGCTGCTCACCACTGTTTTTCAAAGGTAGATGGCAAATGTAGTAATCCTCCTGGTTGTAGGAGCTCAGCCCGACACAGAGCAGAGGAAATGCTCGCTCCAGCGTGATAATAAATGACGCTAAAACATTAAAGTACAAATTAAAAACCATTACTAACATGTTTTGACTTGGACGTCCTTTGAAAAAAAAAATATTCAAATCAGAATTGTTGAGGTCAGATATTCTAGAGCACTGATTCAAATAATCCAATTGACCAAAGATACACAAAGAAAAAGAAAGCTCTGCGTTTTCACCAATATTCCTCAAGGGGGCGTCTTTTGAAATCTATTTTGGCTTTCAGATATTTCTGCTTACATGTAAGATTAAATTGAATGTATAAAGTATAGAACGGGATTCATTTAACAGCTTTTCTTTTAGTTGCTGTTTATATCTATTATACTTTATTAGCATATATAATGTACACGCTTTTGTTTTGTCCATCAACTTTGACTGCTTTTTGAGCAGCATCATTGAGGCAAAATGTGCCGCCCCTTGGCCTGCCAGAGCAGGGTTTAGGCTATTAAACAATAACCTTTAACGTTCCAGCTATATAGAACAACTTCCACACACACATGTGTTTTTAAATGGCCATATACAACACGAATGCTATTTCAGCGGTGTGATCCTGAGACGGTGGTTAACTCTGTAATTCTCTGTTTCTCAGTCTGGCTATGAGCTTGTTCACTTAAAAGGTGTAGTGTTGGTGGAATATTACCAAACGCAAACATGGACGGGTCTACTGTCAGCAGAGCGGCGTAGGCTATTTTATAAATGGAGAACTAACTTCTGTGTTTGTCTAGATAGATACTTTATTCATCCCCACGGGGAAATCTGTTATAAGCAGCTGCCAAATGCAGGAAGAACGGCTGCAAAAGATCTGAATGTGTGACTGTGTTGTGTAAACTAATACGGTTCTAACATCAGTGCTGCATCTAGAGCATGATTACGTTAATAAAGAAATGCGTTGCTTAAATGCATGTGATGCCTTGCTAACCCTAAATCCTGCCTCATGGTGAAGGCCTCGGTTATGATCAACTCACTGTAGTTGGCCTGCTCTTTGTTTGGGATGAAGGGGAAGCTATGTTTTATTAAAACTTAGACCAGAGCGTAGAGAATGAAACTACCCATTATGTACCTGCCAAATGGAATGAGATTTCACAATACTGTGACAGTGTTTAACGTTGGTCCAGTGATGCAACAGACGAGCGTTCAGATTCTCATGGAATGTACAAACGAGACAACTTGATTTGGAGGGAATGTGAACTGTTCAATGACCTAAACTGCCTGTAAATGTCTTGACAGTTTACAGACCAAAGAAAGACAGGTTGCAAATAACCTGTCTATCTGACTGCTACGATATATCAGCATCTAGCAGTAATTACTATTATGATTATTACCACTGATGCACCCAATGGCTCAAGCTACAGAAATGAAAACCAACTTATAATAACTCCTTGTTTTGCTTGAGGGTCCTCTGACTTTTTTTAATTGACTCATCTTTTCAGTTAAGCTTTTCAAAGAAGAGCTCAACAGGCTGTTGACCTGCAAGTACTTCAGTCGTCTTCCATGTCCACCCAACAAGCCTCCAGAGGTGTTGCTGAGGTCAAACGGCCACAGCAGTAAGATGATCGTGCTTGCATGTATTGTGTGTCTGCGCACTGGTGGCTTTATGTGGTGGTATGAAGTTTAATATGTTACTGAAACCACTCTATAACTAGTCTGACTTGTGAATTTGTTTTTATTTTTTGCTTCTGTCAGCCCCATCAAAAGCAAAAGAAGATTCTAAGGAGGTAAGACTGATATCCAATTAATTTTTTATTTGATCAAATCTGTATTTCAGTGAAGTACGTTTTGACTGTCGGCAAACCCCAAACTGATGCTCTGTTGGTGATATGGCAGTTTGTTAGCAGACTGTACCAGAGTGATACGGAGACTCTTCCTACTCAGAACTGGAAGGCGGACTTCCAGAGAACAAGGGAGCAGGAGCCTCCTGACTGCTGGGATATAGAGTTTTCTGATAGACCTGGTTCACCCCAAGCTACAGTCCACAAACCCTGGAGAGGAGCTGCCACTTTTATCCCCAAGGTCCCAGTCACCACCAAGAAACAATGTGTTGACTCCAAACAGGTGAGAGGTCAACAGCCCCTCTATTATAGGTGTCACTGGTTTGTCTTAAGAAGTTAAATGCATCTTGTTTTTCCACCAACAGCTATGCATTTTGCATAGCTTGATGGATTTTGACATCAAACTGTGCTGCTATAAGTTGTTTAATTTATTTATTTATTTTTATTTTTATTTTTTATTTTTTATTTTTTAAATGCCTAAGTAATGGATAAAAAAATATAGTCAAGCTAATTGAGAGACATGGTATTGTCTGGTTTACATGCTTTGTAAGTGACTTTTTTGCTGTGTCATCACTATTCATATCTATACACCAATGTGTTTTATGATGAAATTGTTTACTAGAGCACACTGGTGGAAGAGGTACTAAGTTAACGTAGTGCCAGTGTAAAAGTTCTGCATCAAGTATACCTAAAGTACAAAAAGCAAAAGTTCACGTTATTTAGACTGGCCCATTTCAGTAAAATATATCATTGGACTACCTATTGATGCATACACTTTAATGTTGCAGCAGGTAAAGGTGGAGCTTACTTTGTATACTACTCAAGCATAGTTTATTTATATTCTGTATTAAGAATCTGAATATGCAGAGTATGAAGTTGCATGCAATGAAAATAATCAAGTTGAGTAAAAGTGCTACTTGAGTATTCTAGATGCACTCAGTTAGTCCACCACTGATGGAAAGAATTATTAACTAGAGCACAAAGTTCTTCATAGATCTAGCCTTGAATGCACCAGATTGATGCATTTTACTTTGAATGCATAGATTGTAATTTTTTACATTTCAAATGCATGTGTTCACATCCTGTAGGTTTGATTTTCTCAAGAGTGCAAAGTTTAAGTTATTTAAGCATTTGTCACAGCAACAAACTACCTTTTTGAAATGAGAGGAAATCTCAAAATAGTCTTCAAAAGTTCAATGGAACTCAAGTCCGACTTGAGTTTAAGGCTTAACTATGTTTGTTTTTCTAAGCTGCATGTTTTTATGTCCGTGACTATTGGATAACTACTTTATTTAAATTGGTCCAGTGTTGAGGTATATTGTTGTTTAACGGGCTGCAGTGTAATCATAATGGGTAGTTGTGCTCTTTTAATTTCCGTTCACTAAAAGTGTTTGACGGGCTCAGATGATGTATATGACGAGATCAACAGAAAGGACCTTCTGTTGATCTCGTCTGTTAGTTTTGTGTCTCGCGCGTTCTGAAATGTCTTGTCACACATTATTGAAATGGGCTTAATATTCAGCCAGGACATTGGAAATCTTATGACACTAAGCTTTTTAGTTAAACTATGAAAGCACTGGTGTCCCGTGGCACTCCTTTCTTAAACCCTCAATTCATCTGTTGTCTTCCAGTCATGACACAATAACGGAAAGGAAAAAGTAACGTACGTGTTTTTTCTTCTTTTCAATAATTGTGTCATTTATAAAAGCTTGTCAGTGTCACAAACATCCACTTTTAGTGGATCACACTGCAGCATGTTTAGCGGCTGCTGGCTGAAGCAGTGTCCCTCACTACTGGACCAATTTCTATATTGTCCCTTTTCGTCATTGCAAACGCAAAACATGGGAAAATGGGCTCCGGGTTGAGAACTGCAGAAATTAACTTTTTAGCTACTACTGTTTGTCAGAATTGATGCCTCTGTATACTGTAAATTCATAAATTTTATGTCTAAAGGCAAAAGTGTCTCTGCCGTTTTTGAGGTCAACACCATGAATAGTATACCAATTTGTACGATTCATAGTGGAGACGACAGAGATGCATACTGTATGTGTGGAGGTATTAAAGTGAATCTATGAAACTTCCTTTTCATTTTTTAACATCAATGTGATAAATGGACTTGCATCTGTATAGTGCCATCTAGTCTTCCGACCACTCAAAGAGCTTCACACTACTTGTTCACACACGGCGGGGCTGCCATGCAAGATGCCACCTGCCCATCAGTACCCAAAACCATTCACATTCACGCACATTTATACACGCATGCACAGATTTGGGGAGCAATTTGGGGTTGTGTCTTGCCCAAAGAAACTTCTGCTCCTTTAGTCGGCATGCCTGTCTGGAGGAGCCAGGGACCGATTTTGATTGGAAGATAACGGCTCTACGTTGTGCAATTGTCATTTGTTTTGTGAACCAAATGGCTCATCAGTGCGTAACCGAGCCAGGCTTTTGGTCAAAGCAATTGGTCAGGCATGCATCTTTACTTATCGGACGCATAGGCGTATATGTCGGGCAATAATTAATAAGATGTTTGAGGTCATTAAATAAAACGGTATCTCCATTAGTTCAACAGGAAGCACTGATGAGAATATGTTGCAATTATGTCCTCAGTATTTCATACAATTGTGATACCCAAATTTAAGAGGCTATACAAACATTTTTTTATTAAAAGAAATGCATATTTATATTCAGCTTTCAAATTATGACTGGCTGCGTAAAGTGGGTATTCGGTTGTCTGTGTCAGGAACTTTTTCTGAAACTGTTGTCTTCCCACAACAAATGCACTAGAATGGTGAACTAAGACTAGGTTGTATTGTTCAGTAATTCTCCAGGTTGAACTCATGAGGAGGAAGAGATGGAAATGGACTGTCTTTTCTTTTTCTTTATTGCAAACTGGACAGCCGTTGTGATTTGTAAGTGTCTGTAATTGTGCAGAATGTTATCGTTCAACAATGGTGCCCACACAATAATTCATACTTGTTTTCCCAGAGAAAAGAAACTCGGGTCAAAAGCAAGAAACCTGCCAAATTGGTGAGTACAAAACATTTAGTTTAAAATGTACAGATAGCTCTCTGTAAACAATTTGCAAATCTTCTTCTTCCAGGCAGTTCTCGTGGGTATACCTGTGGAGGTTTTCGGCTCTCCACATGCCTTACCCAAAGACCCTGTCCTGAGGAAGCATCACCTAGAGGAGCTAATGACGAAGATCCATGGCTCCTTCAGTTTTATGCAGGTGGAGTTTGACTGTTTGCATACCCGTGATCTTATTAACCACCCACTACAAGATGAAACTATGGTTTGAATAGTTACTCTACTTTGCTAGTATTGAAGATGGTTGAAGGTTTAGATGTTATGTCTTGTTTTAGGACTCTCTTCTGGATGGAGATGTCTCCCCTACTAACGACCATCCTAGACTGAAGAGACGGCCGTCTGGATCTCCATCGCCTCAGGGTAACTTGGAACTAGTCAACAAGCTTTGTAGTTATGATCGCAGCACAGGTCCACTCACAAATCTTTCTGGAGCTTTAAACCATATCACATGGTCTTCATCAGTTGGAGTTTACTCTTCATGGAAATGGAATTTTTAAATAGCGATCCACCTGCAACGGGTCGAAAGTTGAGATCCGAGATAAATGATCAAATCGATCAGCTGAGGAAGAATATGAGCACGTATCACGAAAGAAACTTAAACGTTCAGTCTGGCTCTCTTGGGGTTATCTGGCTTCACTGAACATCGGCTCTCCTGGATACCAGTATCACTAAACTAGTTATCAACTGGTTCTGTCCATTTTTCCACTCCAGCTACAAGCATGTCATGTCGGAAGAGCAGAGCTTCTAATTACAAGCGATCAGTACCATGAACACTTGATGAGATGAAACTGGGAAACAGGCATATTTAGTTATAGCTACAGCAAGAAGCAATGTTGAACAAGGTGCAATGTTAACCATTTAAACGCATAATTTCTAGTATTTCTACAGCTTCTTACTCTATTCTAAACATACTATAGACGTACATCTGTAGCCTTACTTTAGTGTTCATCAGACAAAGCAAAAATACTATGGTTACTAATGAGTTTGCAGTTCACAAAGTTGAAAGTTCCTGCTGCTCGAGGGGAGAAGAACAGTAGTTAATGAAGTCTATCTAACAGAAATGTTTCTCTATAATCATGGGAACTAATTCAGAATGTGTTAACTTTTCCTTTCTAAAAAGACAACAGAATGCATAGTTCTAGCAGAGTTAAAAAGCTTTCGTGCTTTTTTGACAACTGGCTGTAGATGGCAGCCGTTTGGACTGAAAACGACTGAGTCCAATGTGCCAAAGGATGTTTAAAGCCACATGTAAGATTTTCGGAGAAGCTCTGCCTGTGTGCTTTCAGTGGACATGTAAACCAATTGGGCTGTTCAGACAATGCGCTGTGGCCAGTTTGGTGAGAGAACTCACTGATGTGTGTGTGTGTGTGTGTGTGTGTGTGTGTGTGTGTGTGTGTGTGT